AAGTTCATCTCTTCTAAGATCCGTTACTTAGGACTTTGAAATTAATGGCCGCCCTTTGTTTACATCTGATTAGACCAATCAGAGATGATCTTCACGTTCCCATCTTTTAAGAACCGTTACTTTGGAGCATTTGCATCAGCGGGTTAGCTGCTTGCTGAATATTCTGTTTGCCTGGTGTATAAAGTCAAGTTTTAAGAAGTTTGTATGGCGAATTTCGTTAATTTTGTGGAGTATGTTGTTGGATTTGTTGTTATTTCTTATAAATATGGGCATTCAATCGGACTAATTTAATAATTGGTATACCAGGCAAACAGAATCGGCTGGCAGCAGCTCAGCAGCACTACACCAGCATTCCAAATCCTAATGGCCGCTCTTTAAATTTACCAATCAGAGACTTTCTTCAAGTTCGTCTCATCTAAGATCCGTTACTTAGGACTTTGAAATTAATGGCCGCCCTTTGTTTACATCTGATTAGACCAATCAGAGACAATCTTCAAGTTCATCTCTTCTAAGATCCGTTACTTAGGACTTTGAAATTAATGGCCGCCCTTTGTTTACATCTGATTAGACCAATCAGAGATGATCTTCACGTTCCCATCTTTTAAGAACCGTTACTTTGGAGCATTTGCATCAGCGGGTTAGCTGCTTGCTGAATGTTCTGTTTGCCTGGTGCATAAAGTCAAGTATTTAAGAAATTCGTATGGCGAATTCGCTAAATTGGATTTGTTGTTTGTTGTTGGATTTGGTATTTCACAAAGTTAAGCAGAATATTATTTGGAAATTAATTGTTTGACATGTTTTATTCTTTATTAATTAAGATTTTGATTGCCTGTTGCCGGTTGTTGATGAAATAAGCCCTTCACTGTGCCGCAACTTGACTGAAAGTATAGTACCCTGCAAGGATATTTAAAAACAAGTCCTTATCAAAAAACTACCAAAAATGTTGTTTCCTGCTGCATGGCCGAAAAGATTCGCTAGTTGGTGCTGATTATGGATGTATATGGTTATAGGGGAAAAAAAGCTTCAAGCTTCAAATTGAAATGATAATACCCTGTTTATTCCCATTTTCTGTCAATATTTATTTAAACTTTTAGGACAATTTTTTTGGACAAACCACAGCTTAAAAAACTCATAGCTAAGTCAAAAATGTGTTTTTGAAGCATTCCAAATCCTAATGGCCGCCCTTTGTTTACATTTGAATTGACCAATCAGAGACGTTCTTCAAGTTCGTCTCATCTAAGATCCGTTACTTAGACTTTGAAATTAATGGCCGCCCTTTGTTTACATCTGATTAGACCAATCAGAGACAATCTTCAAGTTCATCTCTTCTAAGATCCGTTACTTAGGACTTTGAAATTAATGGCCGCCCTTTGTTTACATCTGATTAGACCAATCAGAGATGATCTTCACGTTCCCATCTTTTAAGAACCGTTACTTTGGAGCATTTGCATCAGCGGGTTAGCTGCTTGCTGAATATTCTGTTTGCCTGGTGTATAAAGTCAAGTTTTAAGAAGTTTGTATGGCGAATTTCGTTAATTTTGTGGAGTATGTTGTTGGATTTGTTGTTATTTCTTATAAATATGGGCATTCAATCGGACTAATTTAACAATTGGTATACCAGGCAAACAGAATCGGCTGGCAGCAGCTCAGCAGCACTACACCAGCATTCCAAATCCTAATGGCCGCTCTTTAAATTTACCAATCAGAGACTTTCTTCAAGTTCGTCTCATCTAAGATCCGTTACTTAGGACTTTGAAATTAATGGCCGCCCTTTGTTTACATCTGATTAGACCAATCAGAGACAATCTTCAAGTTCATCTCTTCTAAGATCCGTTACTTAGGACTTTGAAATTAATGGCCGCCCTTTGTTTACATCTGATTAGACCAATCAGAGATGATCTTCACGTTCCCATCTTTAAGAACCGTTACTTTGGAGCATTTGCATCAGCGGGTTAGCTGCTTGCTGAATGTTCTGTTTGCCTGGTGCATAAAGTCAAGTATTTAAGAAATTCGTATGGCGAATTCGCTAAATTGGATTTGTTGTTTGTTGTTGGATTTGTTATTTCACAAAGTTAAGCAGAATATTATGTGGAAATTAATTGTTTGGCATGTTTTATTCTTTATTAATTAAGATTTTGATTGCCTGTTGCCGGTTGTTGTTGAAATAAGCCCTTCACTGTGCCGCAACTTGACTGAAAGTATAGTACCCTGCAAGGATATTTAACAAGTCCTTATCAAAAAACTACCAAAAATGTTGTTTCCTGCTGCATGGCCAAAAGATTCACAGTTTGGACCTGAGGTTCGTTTCCAGGTCGAGCTTCGAGGCTGAGGTTGAGTCAAGTAAGTTTGGGCTGGACGGGAAGGGAGTCCCAGGTCCACTACGACACTCTGGAGAGAAGTGCGGAATGAAAAATCGACTTGCAATTAGCAAACATGAAACATCCTCTGCCGGAGGGGGCGGGGGCCATGTGTACAGACACATCCTGACTCTTCTGTGTTTGCGTGTGTGTCTGGAGCTGCAGGAGCTGGCAGCGTTGTCAGCATGGTTAATAAGTTACTTTCTAGATACTTTATTACTTCCTTGGTGGTGAGCGACAGCTGTGCGGGGGCAGGTGGTGGGGGAGCGGTGTGGCGGCACAAAGGGTTGCTACCCCTTTCACCAGTCCCCATTCCCCAGTCCCCAGTCCCCAGTCCCCAGTCCCCAGTCCCCAGTCCCCAGCTCCTGGCGCGTTCTCTGTCTGTGCGTGAGTGTGTGCAGTTTTTTAATTTATGCGATTTTTGACTGCCGTCGTCCTCAGCGCACGCATACGTGGTACAAAGGGGGTGGGAAAAGGATAAAGGATAAAGAATAAAGGCTTTGGACCCAGTGACAGTGGCTGGCACAGTCGCAACGCTCTAGCTCATTACCCTAAAGAATGTATTAATTTAAAATAAAAGTAGAAATAAGTTTGTAATTGTGGAAGAGTCCTTAAGTTTACGTTAAAAAGAATAAATAAATAAAATAAATTAAATAACGTGGATCACATTAAATTAATTATATTTATTTCTTACTTCTAAGTCCACTGTATTTCTTTTATTTATTTATTACAGATAATTTATTAGCTCGAGTGTGTGCCAGTTAATAGATTCGCTAAAAAGTATAGCATACCATTGTGAGCAACTAGCAGGAGCGTAAGGATCTCTCCTCTGATACCTTCTTTGATGAACATGTTGTGTGCTGATCAAACATTTCCATTTAAGATCATTTAGGCCTCCTTTTATCCAACTCCTTTTTATTTAAAACAATCACATTTGTACATTTGCATGCATTTTGGGCCACAGATTTGATCAAATGAAAGTAAACGGCATCATTTGAATCGAAATCACTGTCATTTCCATCCATTTGAGACCACTGTGCAAGTGAACGCTTTTCGCTTCTCCCAAAATCTGTGCAATAGTTTCCACATTGCACGTTATCAGGGCGGTTAAGGGGGCTAGACAAGCGCCCCCTTTGAGTTTTTCCTTATTTATGCAAATGAAATCAATGCTCGTTGACGTATGCCCTTGTGTGTGTGCGTGTGTGTGTGGCTGTGATTGCGCCAAAAGAATAGAATTTTTCATTTTAAATTACATGCCAGCACGCAGGCAGGACGAACTTTTGTTCGTTTGTTTTTGAAGAAGTTTCCGTCGAGGACCGAGAACCGAATAGAACTCAAACTCAGTGCGAGAAGCAAGCCAAAAGCTCTCCCGAACCACATTAAAGGTAACTATGCAAATATTTTTGCGGCTCACACGGGCAAACACAAACCGAAACCCGAAAACCGAACACCGAAAACCGGACCCGGCAACCCTTTCACCTCCAGTACTGGCATTTTTTTTCTTCTCTTGCGAGTCCTTGGAGGTGGCAACCAAAAATATTCCATGTTGGTCAATCGCAAAACTACGAAAAATTCCCCAGAAAGTCCCCCAGCCAGCGTTTTCCGGCTTGCTTCTAATTGTGTTTTGGTAGCCGTAGTTTTTCCGGCAATCACTTAGCCGGGGATCCCCCTGCACCTGACCACCACCATCCTCCAGAGCTAAAGAGCTATGTGCGGAATGTCTAATGAAGCCACATAAATCAAGTGGCGGAGCAGGTCGAAGGGCCGCCGATCGTCCTCGGAGAGAGAGAGGTCAGGGCCAGTGGCTAATTGAAATTAAAAACGCTGCCAAGAAATTGCTGGACATTATTCATTTGATTTTCCCGAGTGTTGGTGAGCCACTGATTTATGCTAATGTTTGTAAATGCTTAAAAAATTGGGAAATGAAACAACAAAAAAGAAAAGGGGAAAGTGGAAAGTGGAAAATACTGCAAGCAAAGCTAGCACATTTTACTACAAATACAACTATAAACTATAACTGTATATATAACAATAAATATAAATGAAATGTAAATGTTAACAAACCATCTGAATAACTCCAGAGCGGATATGGTCTTTGCCAATTCAAATTAAATGCATTAAAAAGTCGTATTCGAAATGTTATTATGTATATCCTTTATTTGGTATTCGAATTATTTAATTCTTGTAATATTAAAAAAAAGACAATGATCACATAAAATATTTTTGTTCGCTTGTAAATTACAGAATTGTTTTCTTGTTTTTCTTGTTTTACAATACAATGTTATGTTATATTATATTATATATATGCTATTATTTTAAGTTTATATTATTTGGTTTAGCGTTTAATTAGTTTAACCATCTTAGTGTGTTATTTACCTCATTTCGAACAATGATCTCTGCTTGTTGTATTTTATTCTTGGTTTTTGCCTCCCAGTTTTCTTCGATTTAGTTTTTCTTTTATATTTTCGTTAAAATTCGTCTAAATTACCCTTTTTCAGGGGCTCTTGCTTTGCTCTTGCTCTTTCTTCTTCCTCTTTCTCTTTGCTTTATTAAGTTATAATTAAGTTTAAGATTAGACGTATGACAATACAAAAAAAAAAAAAAAACACACACACACACACATGTGACTTTGTTGTGGCTCAACTACGTTATTATTATATTTTTTTATTTACTTAAGCTTACACAATAACTATTATTTGTATAGTTAATTATTATAAATATTATTATATTCCTTTTGGTTTAATGTATTGCACTGAATTTTAATCTATTCTTCGGTTTCCTTCGGTAAATGCCCCGATCTCGTCGTCGTTACTGGGTATATATATAACATTAAAACTTACGATCCTACAGAGAGAAGCATATAAGAACATATACACCACAACTTCTGATATATGCCTATTAATAGGTATGTCCCCGTTTGAGTTTTCCTCACTCCGATTAGTCCGGCACTCCACCGATATTCAACTGATATATTACCATATTTTCAGACACAAAAAACAAAAACAAAAAAAATGTAGGATCCACTAAGATTAGTACTGATTATATTTCCCATTTATTATTATGTATTTTCTTTTTCCACATTTTTGGTGTTCGACTTTGCCACTAAACTAAACTTAGCCTGCGGGGTCCTTGGAGCGGGGTCTCTTCTTCCTGGGGAGTACTTCGGAACACCCTTTGTTGCAAAAAATTGACCAGACATTAACACCAAACAAATGCCCTACACTCAAACATCTAATTAGTTTCCACTCTATTCCTATATATATATATATTGTTTATATATATCTTTATAGTTAATAACTTCTAGTTTAGTATTTGATACAGATAAAAAAAAGTGTTTGCAATTTATAATCCAATTTCGATTCTTCCTCTCCTTTTTTATACACGACGAAAGCGTCTAGGATCTAGGATGTGTGTGTGTAGTTCTAGCACTATGTCGGGGACACTGCAGTATCCCCACCAACTACATATGTATGACTACTTACTGGGTACATCTGCCGGATGCTGGGACGCATCCTGGCTATAGGTATAGTCTATATAGCTATCTGTCTCAGAAGTGGGGAACCCCTTCCCGCTCCCCATATACATAAGTATTTACATGCGTCGTGGCCCTGGACGGGTTGTGGCTCTATTTGGGGTTCGGACGACACCAGGAGAGCTCCTCCTGCTGCTCCTGCTGCTGCTCCTGCTGCTGCTCCTGCTGCTGCTCCTGCTGCTGCTTGGGGGCTTTTGATTAGTTCGAGTTGCCTCATTAGATGGGTGTCGGCATCAGTTTGCCATAGTCCTGGTGCATGCTGGGCTTCACCGAGTTGTACACGGGCCGCTCTGCGTCCTCGGGCAGGGCGTACACATCCGGGGGCACGCACAGCGACTGCAGCTTCGAGATGTACGAGTCGAAGTGCTCGTGCGGATGCGGATGCGGATGGGAGTGCGAATGGGCATAGGTCACGGGATGGTGAACGGTGTACGGATGGTGGTGATGATGATGATGCGGCGGCGGAGGTGCCACAGGTGGCACAGGCGGCGTGGCCACCGATGACGGTCCAGATGCGAGACCATTGCCTGTGGCGGTGCCCTGGTGACCGTACATGCCGCTGTTGCCTCCACCCGACGATGCAGATGGTGGCGGCGGGGGCGGCGGCAGCAATGGGGAGTAGGCCGTGGCAATCTCGGTGCTTCCCACCAAGGATCCGCCTCCTCCTGCTCCCAGCTGGCCACCACACACGCCGTCCGAGGGCGGTGGTGGCGGCGGCGGCAGACGCACATGCTCCAGCAGCGTAATCACATTGTTGCGCAAGCTCTCGTAGTAGTTGTTCAGGTTGGCATTGGCCGGTGCTCCTCCCCAGTGTCCATGGGGGGATTCGAGTTGCTGCCCCCTGAGCTGGGCGCCAGGTTACTGATCGGATGGCCCACCAGATCGTTGTTGGCCGAGCTGGAGCCGCCGCCGTTCCCGCTGTTCACCACGTTGGCTGTGCCGCTGGTGGAGCTGACACTGGCGAATGGCGATTGACCGCTGGGCGAGGCCAAGGAGGTCACCGAGGAGCGTTGCTGCTGTTGCTGCTGCTGCTGTTGCTGCTGCTGCTGTTGCTGCTGTTGCTGCTGCTGCTGGTGGCCGATCAGTGGAGAAGCCTCCTGGAAGGAGCAGAGGATTGGTTAGCGATAGTCACGGCACGGACGCCGAGGCCAGGGGCTGGATGGGGGACAGACGCTGGTCATGAATGGGAATTGAATTCCAGAAGCTACCCCGAAATGGGATTAATATGAAAATCAAATATATAAATAATATGTATCTGAGCACACACATATGTGTACATGGAAATTCCAATAAGAAAGCAGCAAGACAAAAAAATATAAATAAATAAGGACCAAAGTGATGGGGGGTTGCCCTATTTTTGGGGGTTGGGAGTCTTCTCCGTGCAAAAAATCCAAAAAAAAAGGAAGAGAGACGAAGTGAAGCCAACGAAGCCACACGAACACGAGCGAAAGCTGGCCCCTGTATATATTTTTTATTTCGGAGTGGAGTTCCTGCAGGAGCGCAGGAGCACAGGAACGGAGGAACGGGGAAACGGGGGACGAGGAACAAAGGTTAAAGGCTGCGCCCGAGCAGCGACGCCACGTAGCACACTTTTCTTTAGCCGACTTTCCCCCGAAAAGCGTTTTTAGGAGCAAATCGAATCGAGTCCTGCGATTTGTTGGCGCCTCGTCCTCGTCCTCTTCGTCATTGTCGCCTGCGCATGACCAGCACCCACACACACACACACACACACACACACACATACACATAGAAGGCACACACGCACACTAGGGACACACGCGTGTTTAGGGGTGTGTGCCGCCGCTGCTGCCACACCTCCTGCCACATCCTGCCGCATCCTGATTCGCTGCCCCGATGCAGCAAAGATGCAACGCCAGCGATTGGTCGAAACGGAGAGAAGCGCTCGAGAGTGGAGAGTGGAGGCGTTGCATTCCGGGTGGTTGCGTGGACTCCAAATGGAGCCATCGTCATCGTCATCGCCATCGCCAAAAAGCCGGCTTAATTTCCATATGTAAATAAATATCTATGTATAAATTTATATGCTGCAGCTTAGGTTCAAGACGTCTGATAAAACTTTTTCCCTAAGTTCACCACACTTTGCTTAACTTGAGTTTGTTGTTTCATTGTTTTTAGAGACGTCCTTGAAAAACACAAGGCAGGGAAACTCGCTCAGGTGACGACGACCGACTCGGGGAAAACAAAACTTAAGGGAAACTCTCGCTCGCTCGGGCCAAGAAAGAAAACTCCACTCAAAGTCTCGTTTGAGTTGAAAGTTGGGTTTGCAAAAACAAATAAATAGAGCATGAGGCGGGGTAAGTACAGTTGGTGGCAAAACTTGGCAGTGTGACCAGCCTAAGCAGTCTGACCAGCGTCTGCAAAGTTCGGGCTTAAGAAGGTCTGGTGTGTGCTTGTGTTTCTCTCATAATTTGTTGCCTTTCAACGAACCTGAGCCTACGTACCCGATCGCTGGTGCTCAGCTGCGACTCCATGGCGTTGATGTCCGACTTGAGGCGCATCATCTGCGACTCCACGCGCGCGTTCTCCCTCTGCAGCTCGGAGATTTCGGCCTCCAGTGTGTTGAGATCATCGCTACCAGTCGCCCCCGAGGAGGGACCACCGCCACCGCCACTGCCATTACCTCCTGAGGCACTCTTCTCGCCGCTGTTGCTCCCGTTGCTATTGGTATGGTGGGGATTACCATTGTTGTTGTTGTTGCTGCCGCTGCTGCTGCTGCTGCTGCTCACTCCAAGGCCGCCAACGCCGACTCCGACGCCTAGACCCAGGCCCACGCTGCCGCCCATGACGATGTCCATGCCGCTGGCGCCTGTTCGAGGTGGGTGGAAGTAGGAGGAGGAGGTACGGGTGAGAGAGATTCGTTAGTGGATGCTTGCACCTGTCTACCGATCTAGGATATCATTATTATTTTTTATTTGTCTTTTCTCTTCGTGGCATCTGGTCTGGCCTTCCACGGTTTGTCAATGTGCGCGTGTGCTAGCAACTTGATTGTTGATGTGTAAATTTACAATAATTGTAGCCCAAAGAAGTCGCCTTGAGTGAAGCACAGGAGGCAATTGAATCACAGTCAAATTGTTAGCATTGAAAGGGACTTCTCAACACTGGCAGACTTCGTCCTTCAAGGGGGACTTGGGCCACACTTATTGTGACTTTCGGGGGAACCCCCAGTGTGCCTGGGTGCAGTGATCGTCAGAGTGGCTCGAGATGGTGTTTGGTGTTTTCTTTTAGTTCAGTTGAATCTTTGGGGCTTACCTTGGATCGACACACAGCTATATGTTGTATGTACAGTCTGTATATATTTTGGATTCTCTGATTTGAGGTGTGTGAGAGAGAGGTCTTTGCTGTCTTTCGGTGTTGTATATTTTTAGCTTTTTTCGGTTTGGATTCTGTTCTGTACTTGGTTTAGTTTTGGTTTAGTTCATTTCTGCCTTTACTCGCATTTATTTTTGCTTGCTGGTTGTGGTTTCAGTTTCGGACTCTGTTTCAGTGGTTATGGTTTTCTATTTACAGTAGATACTCGGCACCGATACAAAACGTTGCGTAATCTAAAAGAAAACGCCAACGAAAAATCGACATGAAACGAAACGAAAAAGCAGAAGTAGAACACAGAATTAAAATGAGAATTTTTAAACTAGGATTTGAATTTAATAGTTTTGAATGTTTTCTTTCTCTTTTGATCAGCATTTGCATGGATTGCTCGTGATCGTTCTTGTTATGTACCGGGTTTATCATTCGAAAAAGGATCATTGAGTTGGGGTTTGTGGTCAATGGTTTGGGGGGTTGGGGTTCGGGGTTGTTTGGTGGTGTTTTCTTGGTGGAGGTTGACTGGTTTACAGAAGGTTGGAGTTGGATAAGCCCGTGTCCGTTTTCAATTTTGAATTTTCATTTTTTACTTCAACGTTTAGTTTCAACGTAAAATGACTAGTTCTAGTTCTTCAAAAATTTGTTGTGTTGCATTTTCCGAAACCAAAACCAAAAATTAAGGTCTTTAATTAAGTTCTTCATTGCTGAATATATATATATATATATAATTTCTTCTGTTTCTTTCTATTTTTCGTTTGACTTTAGCACACGCACACAAAATTCCAACCGAAAATGTTCAAGACAAGAAGAGAGCAACACAACAGAGAAGAATACATAGGTCTAGTTTCCGGATCAAATCGGATGGAGATTCTGAAGGCTTGTTCGACTTTTTCGACTCTACATTTTCCGACATCTTCTTTGTGTGTGTTGCTAACTTGATGACAACGCCATTATGCCCCAACCCCCCGCCAAATTAGTAGGGGGGTGGTATATAGTGGCCTTGGGCCCAGTTCATAACAGAAAAATACACGCAAGAGAGAGAGAGAGCTAGAGATACAGAGAGAGAGAGCGAGGGAAAGGCTGTAAGGATTGAAGATCCCATCACTCACCTGTATAACCTTTGGGATACACCATGGTGACCTCATCGAACTTGGGCTTCTTGATGCCCTGACTGCCCACCGTGGTGCAGGCTAAAAAATACATGAATACAGAAAATTAGATTCAATTTATATATATTTTCTACAAATTAAATTATTGCTTTTTGTAGCTTATACTTTTACTTACCATCGAACTTCATGGCCGTGGCAGCTGCTACTGCAGCCTTGTGCTGCTCTACAGTGCCGCCGGCTTCCAGGACCCTCATCTTGTTCCTATTGGCAATGGGACAGCCCGAGGCGCTGCAGGGATGCGAGATCCGGAATACGGAATATAGAATACCGAACACAGAATGCACTCCATCCTCCAAAACTCACCTTCTGTGGGAGAGGAACTTGCCAGTGGAATGACCAGAGCCATCGCAGCCCGGTATGGGACAGCGCAACGGCTCCGAGTCCTGGCCATCGCGCGGCTTGCTCTTGGGCTTGTTGGCCCTCGGGCAGCCGGAGAGGCTGCGGTGCGAGGAGTAGTTCCCGGTGACATGGCCAGAGCCGTCGCAGCCGGGCGTTGGGCACTTCAGCTCCTGCGAGTGCGATTGCAGATGGTTGCGGTCCGAGCGAGAGCAGCCCGTCAAGCTGAAGATGAAGAAGGTCCTTGGATTAGCGATTGAAGTGAGATCCCGGTCCCCGGTCCCAGAGCCCAGAGCCCAGAGTGGTCGTGGCCAGATAAGAGAATCGCGTACGTGTGCGTGTCTGTCTAAGGCTAAGACTCTTGAAACTTTTGGCTTTAAATTTGAGTTTAATCACGAAGTGGTGAGTGGTTTGGTGTGTGGGCCAGTTTTATGACCGCCCTGCGACCACATTCGGCCGTAATCATAAATATTAAAGTCACTGTCCCACCTAGACCGAGGATTAAACGTCGCAGGCTGGAACTACCCAATGGGAGCTCGTAAAATAGAAGGGATTTGAGGTATTGCAAGTAATGTTGTATAGCTGCCTCAGTCTTAATTATTTCTAGAGTTTAGTCCCATTTGAGTTTCCGTTTCAGCTTCAAGTTTATACAGAAAATGAGGCAACAGTTCAGGTGATGCTCTGCTCTTCCCGTGACAGAGATGGATCGAACAAAACGGGATGAAGATGGAGGTGGAGATGGAGGCGGAGGTGGAGGTGGAGAGCTCGGGCATAGATGGATGGACACTTTGTCCGATTATTATTTGATCCATTAACTCAACAAACACTCACAGGGAACTTCACCCGAGGAGAGGGAAGGAGGAGCAGTTGGACTTACCCGTCCTTGGTCTTGTCGTGCTGCGGTATGTGCTGTGGCGGTGGCATCGAGTAGCAGGTGGCCGGACTGGGCGAGTAGCCGCCGGAAACGGGCGTGGGATAGCCTCCGGGACCGACGGCCGTTGCATACGGATTGCTGCACTGATAGGCGGCTGGGCCGTAGCCATGGTAGCCCGCCGGCGGGTAGTCCGATTGCACCACCATCCCGTAACCAGGATGCGGTGAGTAGCCTGCAAGGAGGTAATCAAAGGGGGTTGATAAAGCTTTGTTGGCTATCGATCGCACAGAAACACATGCAAACAAGATATTGAGACACCACACTAACCACTAGGATCCCGATACGTCTCGATATAGTGAGAACCACCGCTATCCGGCGTGGACTCCCGACTGTAGGGTCGCGGACCGGTGATGTGGCCCACCAGGCCGAAGCCCAAGGGACGCGGCGGCCCGCTAAAGTCCACCGGCTCCATTTGCGGCGATCGGGGCGGACCACCGTTGCCTGGTCCCAGCGGTCCTGTCGCTCCACCTCCGAAACCCTGGGCATGGCCCACGCCCACGCCGACCACCAGACCGTCGGCGCCGTACTGTGGACTCGTAATAATGCTGTGAAGAGAGAAGAGAGGGAGAGGTTATTACTATAAGATCATATATTTTTTGGCGACTACTGAGGAGTCAAGTGGAATCACAGAGCCCTGGGATAATAACCCATATCATGTACACCGTGAGACGTTGGACACCTCTAATGATAATTATTACAGATTTGTAGAGTGCTCACCTGTGTGGCAGTCGGGTGACGCTGAGGTCCAGCGTCTGCCCCTGTGGACTCGGCACCTGGGGACTGGCTATGTTCGGACTGGCGCCCGGCTGTGGACTGCCGTTGCCCATCCGCTGGGCGGAGTACTGGTTGTGCGAGGCTGGCGAGTTGAAACCATGCGGACTGCTGCTTGTCACCGAGGTGGATCCGCTCAAGTCCACCGCCGGCACTCCGCTGGCGCCGCCGCCCACATTTGGAGCCGGCGAAGAGCTCTGTTTGCCGTGCTGCTGCTGCTGCTGCTGGTGATGTTGCTGCTGCTGCTGCTGTTGCTGCTGTTGCTGCTGTTGTTGCTGCTGCTGCTGCTGCTGCTGTTGTTGATTTTGATTCTGATAGGCAGCTGCTGCAGCGGCTGCCTGGGCGGCTGCCATTTTCACGGATAGATTTATGGCCGAGAAGCCCGGCGGCAGGGGACCCATGGTGGGGTCATAGTGATACATGGGCCGCGGATACAGCGGCTGGCCTCCATTGGCGGCCAGCTCCTCGTGCTCCGCCTTAGCCAGCATCAGCTGCTGCTCCTGCAAGTACTTCTGCTGCTGGGCCTGCATCTCGTCGGTGGTCTGCGGCAGGTAATGATAGGCTGCTGCCGCCGCCGCCGAGGCACCCACCGCCGCCGATGTGACCGCCGCTGCCGTCGTAGATGCCGTGGAGCGCTGGCCATTTGTTGGACAACAGACGCCGCCGCCGCTGGAGTCGTAACGCTCGAAACCCGCTCCGCTGGCGGCGGCCACAGAAACCGCGTCCACAGCGAAGGCTGCTGGGGAGCCGCTAAGCGGATGTCCTGGATGTCCCGGATGTCCTGGATGACCGGGATGACTGGGATGCCCGGGATGGCCGGGGTGGCCGGGATGACCCGGATGCGGCTCATATGCGCTTCTCGCCGTGCCCGGCGACAGGTCGCTGGAGACTCCATTGGCCACCAGCAGCTCGTGGCTCTGGGCATACCGCATCTCCGCGTACTGACGCTCCTCCGCCTGCTGCTGCTGCTGCTGCTGCTGTTGCTGCTGCTGGTGGTGTTCCGAGTGGTAGCTGGCCGTGGGATCCGGCACATCGTTCCCTTCTATGAAGGGTCCTCGCTGCTGGTGGAGCGTGTGTTGCTGCTGCTGCTGCTGATGATGTTGCTGCTGGTGGGGATTGAGATGTGGGGGACTCTGCAGACCCACAAAGCGACTCAAATGCGGAGCATGCAGGTTACCGTTCTCATTGCCATTCGTGGATGCCCCACTCCCGCCGCCGCCAGAGCCCGATCCGCCGGAGCGCGGTGCTTGCGAGGCGGACGTGGCCGAGGAGGAGGCGGCGGTGGCAACCGAAGGAGCGGGCGCTGCCGCATCGCTGGATAGGTACGAGTGCATGGGGCTTTTGTTGTATTCCGACTTGATGCTGGCCACGGGACTGTACTCCGATTTGATAATCGGCATCGTTGCACCTCCGCCGCTTAGTTTGGCGCTGGAGCCAGTGCTGGCACCACCATTCGGACCACTGCCACTGCCACTACTACTACTACTGCTGCTGTTGTTGTTGCTGTTGCCGTTGCTGTTGCTGAGATAGTGGCTCGAGGCGATCTTGAGCTTGTCCAGCGGGTGCAGCTCCTTCTCATGCTTGTCCAGCTCGGCTAAAGGGTGCGAAATAGAGCAGAGCGAGACATGGAGCGATAGAAAGAGATCAGACAGTGGAAAGGGAAAGAGTGAGAGAGAGAGACAAAAAGAGAGAGAGAGATGGAGAGTATTCGGTGTGGGGAGGTCGAAAGCAGAGAAGGAGAGGTATGAGTCAAACCATTAAAGTTCATTTAAAGTTGATCAATCAAACAACCTTCAAGCGTTCGTCAAGCATTCATTTGCAATTCATTCACAGGTCAACAGTCATTCGTGAATCGTCCCTCATCACACATCACTTACCACACAGAGTCTAGTTCCTTGGGTATAGCAACTACGCTCTTTCAGTCGATAGTGGGATGAATGTATTCACGACTCATGAGGTTCAGTATTCAGACCTCTTCTGTGATCAGTTTGATGCTTCTATCTGATTGGAAAAATCTTCTAGTTCTAGCACATACATTTCACACACACTCACACAGTCTGACACAAAGTTCAAAATGTTTTGGTTAGCTTAAAGGGTTAATTAAGTTCGACTTCGGTATGGATTGCATTGGGGCTGGAGGTTGATTTGTTTCACCTGCTGTTGCTGCTAGTGTCACTAGCGACGCTGCTGTGGCTCCCGGACGGCGGCTGGCTCCGCTGGAGCGCCTGACGGCCCGCGGACAGCCGGAGAGGCTGCGGTGCACGCTGCGATGCGGCTGCACGTGGCCACGACCATTGCAGCCCGGCGTTGGGCATTTCAGGATCTGCTCGTGCAGAGCGAGCACTGCGGGATCAATGGTCAAGGATCAGCGGTCAGTGATCAGCGATAATTTCTTGGCACGACTACGACAAACAAGGCATTCCACAATCAAGGGACAGAGACAGAGCTTAAGAGACTTGGAGAATTAGAGACAGAGAGAGAAATAGAGGGGAAAGAGTAGTTGGAGCCTCTACCAGGTAAAGCCACAAAGCACTTTGGAGAATTAGAGAAGGAGGAGAGAGAAAGCTGAAGAGCCAAAGCTCTCTTTCACACTCTATGGAAAGCAACTTACATGCAAAGAAAGGTCTACGGAGATCTTTAGATTCTTCAGAGCAGAGATCTATAGAGATCTATGATCATGCGAGAGAAGGAGACATTTGACAGAGAAAGTTAGGTCTTAAGATATACTTCTACGAGCTACAACTACGCAATACACCACCTTATAGAAAGATTACACGAAAGATGTGTCACAGATGAAGAAGGCAGGCTAAAAGAGACCAGAAACTAAAAAGTAAATCTTAAATAACAAATAAATATAGAGAGTACTACGGAAAGTTCAGTAGATCGGCGCAAGGAGCTCTATCTTCGAACACATTAAACATTCACACACGCAGGTTAGGACTAGACAGACACAGTCTTCTTTGTGAGAAAAGAAAGCCAGTTGGAAAGAGATAGAGACAGAGAGAAATAGAGACAGAGAATTGAACGTCTACATCATGAGCCACACAAGAGCATGCAATATGGATAACATTTCGGTTTTTCTTTTCTTTATCCAACTTACATTCCGTGGTGACCTTATCCCTCTTCGGACAACCCGACAAACTGTCATAAAATCCCATCGAACGCCAGATCGAAAGTAAATATATTTCATATATGGAAATACACAGAGAGAGAGATAGGGAGAAAGTAAGAGAGATAGAGAGAGAGTGAGAGAAGAAAGGGGAATGAGTCACGGAATCTCTTGTTGGACGATGAATGGGTGTACCTGCGATGGTGGGAATACAATCCGGTGACATGTCCTTGGCCCGTGCAATGCGGCGTGGGGCATTTGGCGCCATCTACAATTAACCAATTAACAGTGAAAGGTAAATCCAGGGCGGGCGAGATCGGGCTACATACAATATCCACGTGAGAGAGAGACAGGTTTGGATATTTTCTAATTAATTATATGGCAGAGACAAGTTGACGCTTTACCCCACAGAAGAACCCTTCAGAAAAAGAAAAACCCATAAAAAGAAGGGAAAGCGGAAGCCAAAGCAGAAGCAGCAACAGCAGGCAGCCAGTCAGTCAGTCAGCGAAAGCAACTGGAATTCTTTTACCCTAAATAATTAATTAAAATTTGATGGAAAACAGCTTTGCATTATTTACTTTAAAAGCACACACATGACAGGCAGCAAGAAGGGTTTCCTACAAATACAGACACACGGCTAGCTTCAAAAATCGTGAAAACTCAGTACCAAAAAAGGCCACGCTACGCTATTTCTAAGATAAAATAACCCCAACCTCAGCCTCAGCCTCAGCCTCCGTCTCTGTCTCAACCTTCTCCCCATCGTATGAGATGTCGGGGTTGGTTAATGAAATATTTTTCGAAATATTTACGCCGTGTCGTGTCGGTTTTTGTCTATTACGTGGCCGGGCAAAATGTCAAAAACTGCAGCAGCCAGCCAGCAGGCAGGCAAAAGCACAAGCAGAAGCAAAAGCACGAGCACGAGCAGAAGCAAAGGTAGGCAGCCAAGCCAGGACCAAGGACTCTTCTCTAATTAGAATTTAATTAAAATAAAGGAGAACCAGCAGCAGTGGGAGGGAGGCTGTGCATTAGAAATTCCTCTACAGTTTCAGAAAAACTAAAGCCCAACTAAAAGGATTTAGCATAATAAGCCACATTAGCAGAGAGGCTAAAAAGGCGAAGCCTACGCACAAAAACAATAACACAACGCTAATGACTTATTACCGAGGAGTCTCTAGTCCCGTCTTAAGCCTTTCTCCCTTACCCGTCAACTATTTAAAAAGTCATTCAAATTATATGAATACCAAAAGCCACACACACAGCGACTGTATGCTCGGCGGCATATTAATGCCAAAACATAATGACAAAATAAATATGCGAAAGTGGTTTTCGTGAAGGAAAACGTGCTCATAATGCTTTATATCTAATCAGGCCCCACGCCCCATGCCCCACGCCCCATGCCCCGCCCCAGTCTGTGTGTAGAAATTGTACAGCAAAATTAGTAGATGGCAAAGCTCAAGGCTCAGGCACTCAACCGAAAGATGTCTGTCTGTCCAAGATGAGGACGTACGGGGCACGGTTCGTGGGAGGAGTATATGTGTGGGGCGTAAAGGGTTTACAAGCCATTAGTTGTTGCCTCTGCACTTTTGGAACCCCTCACCGATACTCCAAGCCCGGTAACGACAAAATCGCTTAATGTCTTTTTGCCTGCCTGCAAAGGGGTTTTATTTTTGGAGATACTCTTGAGTCTTCCAAGAGTATTTTTAGGGGTATTTGTAGTGGTATTCGGGGGTATTAGGGTTTGTGCAAATAATAATAATAATAATAATAATAATGTTGCTTATTACGCAGGCAAATTGAGTGTAGTTACTCTCTCTATTTCTCTTTCTCTCTCTACATCAATCTCTCTTCACATGCACACACAAGAAACACACACAATTGCTGCCTCAATCTTGTTCTTTTTTGTTATTTAAAGGTGGTACAGGCTTAAGGTGTAAGAGGGCTGAGGGGGACTGGGATTAGGACCAGGGACCAGGGACCAGGGACCAGGGACCAGGGACCTTCTTCTCTGTTCTGATTTTGCCAATTGAAGTGGTTAAACTCAATGCAACAAGAAGTCTCACACATCAGCTGATCATGGATCAGTCGAAGCCCAACCAACCAACCAACCAACCAACCAACCAACCCACCAACGAATCAACGAACCTCTTCGAACGCCGCTTTCTATTGTTTCGCACTGTAACACACTGGCGAGGATGGTGTACTGTGTGCTCTGTGATGGTACGTGTCCCGATCTGGTGTTTACATTACTGTTGCCTTCGTGTCACCTTTACAGCACTGCTTCGCGTCGAACCTTCTTATACAACACTGATCTGCGACTGTTAAGCTGTCACTGTAAGTGGCATTACACGAGTCTTTACAACACTTCGATCAGTGTTCACGAATTCCAGCAATATTCACACCAGATCGATCACTGTTTCCGGTCACAGTTCACCACCGATCCAGACACACCACACAGAGTCAACGGGGAATCAACAACTTTCTCTCTTTCTGTTCTATGACTTACTATGGGAGCACTTACCGCGATTCTGGCTGCTCGGCGAGTAGCTCAGAGCCGGAGGAGCTGTCAGCGTCGTCGTCGTCGTTGTCGCTGCGGACTGCGGACTGCTGGCGGCTGCTGTGGTGGTCGGTGGCGTGGCCACCAGTGGCACACCGACAACGCCCTCGCGTGCAATGTCCTGCATCACGGACGCCGCCCGGCTGCCGACGCCCGCCGGCTGCAGGATCGTATACTGCTTGCCATCAGGGACCAGGGATCCTGGTCCGTCCTTGGGCCGACTGAGTCCCAGGCCCAAGCTGCCCAGGGGCTGTTGGTGTTGCTGCTGCTGCTGCTGCTGCGACTGCTTCTCGCCCAACTGGCTGGCTATGTCGAAGGCGGAGGCGGAGCGCGACGTGGCCTCCAGTCCAAGTTGCTGCTGCTGTTGGCTAGCAGAGGCGGCAGCGGCGGCGGCATAGCCGTAGTAGGCCAGTCCGGCGGCAGACTCGGCGGGATTGTAGGCGCCGCTGGTGTAATGGGCGTGAACCTGGGCCTGAGCCTGGGCCTGGGCATGGGCGTGGGCGGCGGCCGCATAGTTCCGTTTGATGATATCAATGGGCGGCTTGAAGGCGGACGCCGCCTGAGCGTACACACCATTGGCCTCCTCCAACTCCAGATTATCACCTCCTGCTCCGGCTCCGGCTCCTGCTCCTGCTCCCGACGACTTCTTGCTGCGCTCCATCTGGGCATTGGCGTTGAGGCGCGCCTGGTCGTTCTCCTTCTGTCTGTGGAAACGTGAGAAGATCTGTGAGCTGGGACTGCCGGGATCAAGGGCTTGGTCTTGGTGCTCCTCATACTTTTGCTTCTCCTCAAAGAGGTTCTGGAATGGCGGCGGATTCTCGTCCTGCTCCTGGAGTCGATAGAGATTGCCGCGGGCATCGGGCCAGCTACCGGAGAGGCTCTTCAGTGCCGCCTGCGTCTCGCGGATTAGAGTCTCGTCGTCCTGGTCGGTTTCCGCTGCATTGCTTGCCGCCTTGCCCATCATTGGCGTGGGATTGGGTAACTGCCCCTGGCCCTGTCCCGGACTTGGACTCTCTGGACTGTCGGCAATGTGTCCCTGTTTGCGCTTCTTTTGTGGCAAATTGTTGTTATTGTTGTTGGTGTTGTTGTTATTGTTATTGTTATTATTATTGTTGTTGTTGGTGTTGTTGTTGTTGTTGTTGTTATTGTTGTTGAGAGCGGCAGCATTGGTGGTGTCGTCGTCGCGACTGCATCGCTTGCGCCTCTTGATCGCCGTCTCATGGTCGTTGGCGGCGGCATTTCCGTTGCCGTTGCCGTTGCTCTCAGCGAGGGGCGTGTCCTTGGCGAGGGGCCGCTTGGAGAGCGCCATTTTTGGGGTTTAATTCCGGTCTAAGCCAGTTTTGCTGCAGGATCGAAAGGCAAATATACTTTCGAGGCAATACACAACAACAACAAAAAAAAGAAGAAAGCAACACGAGCCACGAGCATCAGCCTTATCAAGGATTTATGTATATATATATTGAAAAAAACATTACAAATATATATATATTGATATTCAAAGTCCAAGCTAGAAACCTAAACAAAATCGAAACCAACATCAGGGCTACACCTGTGCTCTATAAAACCTGACATCACGGATAGTAGTTCTAATATTTAACTTATTGCTGGTTTTTTATTTGTATTTTCATGTATTTAAAAAGATTTTTGCTCTCTTTTTTAGGACCGACCATACTAATTAAAAAATTAAATTACTTAAAAGGGCTTGAAATTAAATTAATTTATGGGAATTGTTTTGATAACTTTTTTAATTTGTATTCATCTAGGTACTTCTTATACATAAATGCTATTAAGTTGAACCTTGTAAATATTTGTATTCCGCTTTGGAATTATGGCAATAATAAATAATTTTAATTTAATTATTTAGAAGTATGTGTTTACCATAATTCTTTCTACACATCTAAACAAAGTCTAGGTTAACGATTTGTTGTCATCACAAAGTTTCTTGATTCCTTGCTTTTTTTATTCAAGTTTTTATGATACCCTAACATAAACCATAAAAACTAACTTGGAAAACACTGACAAAAAAGTGGCAAAGTTTCCGCACTATAATAAAAATCATTTGATTTGAGAACTAAATAAAACTGGAGATATTTTCCACTATATTATTTATAGGACATAGAAGGATCCTAGTAGGGACTGTATGGAACCCATTTTAGACACAATGAACTGCCCCGCTCTTCTTAGAGTCTCATTTTTCCATCATTAATGTTATCATTTTCTTCTCATTTTGTCAATTTAGCGCAAATTCTCAATGGGATTATTCTTGTTGCATTGAATTTTTGTTTAGCTTTTTATACAATATACGTTTGTTATGGTTTTGGATTTCTTTGTTTGTAGATTGTTTTTGCTTTTTTCCTCGGTTCTTATCCCCATTTGTTTGTTATTTTGTCGTCTTGTTGCTTAGAGAGAGGTTCGGTTTAATTTTTGCCTTGCTCTATGGAAGGGACATGGGGCGGGGGGTCTGGGTGAGGAGTATATAGTATATATACAAGATATATATGCTTTCGAGAAGTATTACTTAATTACAAGAGTCAAATACTTAGATGTGAACTTTACCTATTTGGTGGTATATCTTTTCAGTTTCGAGTTTCGACTTTCAAGTTTCGGTTTCGGTTTCGATTTTGTTTTGCTCTCTCTCGGTTTTAATTGCTCACTTTTGATCACTTTTTGTATCACTTGGTATTTCTAGGGATTTTCGGTAATGACATTAATGGCTGCTTGTGACTTATGCTTGCTTTTATTATTTATATACTGTTATTAATTAGATCACCAACGATCACTAATCAAAAAATCCAACATAAACTAAATGCAAGGTAAAAAAAATATAAACACAAAAAAAAACACAAAACAAACTCACTTTGCTTTTCGCGACGAAAGTTTTAGGGTTTTATTTGCTTGCTTGTTGGGTTTTTGTTTCTCGGTTATTTCTTGAGGTTGATAACGGGTCGTATACTTGTTATGGAATCGCGGCGCACTTGGCACTTTTCAAAGGGAATTCTTAGTGTGACCTTTTGTTTGGTTTTTGCACTGTTTTGGGTTTTTGCTTTTTACTTTCTTCTTATTTAATGGGTTTACTTTTGGTTTAGCCGCGACGCGGTGTTTCCATCTCCTCTCAAAAAGTTTGCGAAGTTTTTCTTTGTTTTTGTTTTTTGTGAGCTTTCCGCTTCAGTTTTTGGTTTCTGTTTTCTGTTCCTGGCACGGGCACGGACACTGGTACTGGTACTGGTACTGGCACTGGCACTGGTTCTGGCACTGGTTCCTGGGTACTGGGTACTGGGTACTGCGTACTGCGTACTGGGTTCTGGGTACTGGGTACGCTGGGCTCTGTATGTGTGGGATCTCTCAGTAAGTGGCGCCGCAGAGCGAGGCGGCGGTAGAGTCCGGACGTCCAAAACCCGACTGTTCGATGCGTTTGGGGTAATAAAATTTTACATCGTCGTCGTTGCCGTCGCTGCTGCTGCTGACGTCGCGGCCGGCGTCGCTGTCCAAGCGACGCAGACAACGGTAAAAGCCGAACGTCCTTCGGAGATCCGGCGTTCGGCCGCGAGAGCCGAGCTTCAAGAATCGAGCTTGGCTTGAGCTTCGTTTCTGTTTCGTTTCGATTCGTTTCTTTCACTGTTTCGCTTCGCGCCTCCCGCGTTCCACTCGTTTCAATTCGGTTCGACAGGGGGTGGCTGTGTACTGTTCCTTTCCAATCTGTTCCGCCCGACTTTTCGATGTTTCCTTTTTTTGGTATTGTTGTTGTTTTTTTTCAGCTAGCCTTCGCTTTTCCGACGACTTTCCTGCTTTCCAGGCGGAACGTGCGTGTCTCTACCTGTTCTAAGTTCGCTGCCAACTGACAGTTTTCCAAAGTTGTGTGTGCTGTCGAACTTTCGAATGCACCCGAAAAAATTGACGACGTCGACAGCGACGCCGATGGAGACGGCGGCGTCGATGCCGTTTCTGCCCATTTTTCGGAGTCATTGCTTGCTCGCTCGTTCGCTCCTGCTCTATCCTGTATTCGCCTCTCACTCTGTCACACTCGAACCCGGCCGTAGGACAGTATTACAGTTATGTTCGGCGAGTCGGCGCACTGAAGGTCACATCGTCCTCGCCGCCCCCCGAGGTCAACAGCTAGTCCGAAAAGGACGGCACGGAAAGGGAGCTGGAGAACAACAAAGGGCGGCATTCCTTCATTTTCCTCTGCCGATTTCGGAGATTCACCGGAATTTCTGGGCGACGTCTACAGAGGCAGCAGCGGCGGCGTCGGCAGCGAAGGATTCAAGTGATTTTCGTGATTTTCCTAAAACAGTCCGTCGTCCTCCAACGTCCAGCGTCCGGCGAAGATCGCAAAAATGCCATAGATCCAGCAAATCGAAAAGATTTAACTCAGGAAAACTTTAGATACAAAGGATGAACATCCAGGACTACTATAAAAAAACAGGGACAGGATAAAATAAAACTGCTTTATGCAAAAAGGCTAAAACTAGCTAAAGAAGCCTACGAAATATACAAACTAATATAAATATATAAATACTAAAATCCTAAATAACTAAAAAAATAAGCTTAAACAAATAAAGCGTAAGCACAAGGATCAAAGGATGATTATTTTTAGAAAGATAATTAAAGCTAAAGAATAAAAAGAAGAATTTAAAAAAAACACCAAATGAAACAAAAAAAAACAGGAAAAATGATGAGATAAAAACCCCATTTGAAGCATTAAAGCCGCTGATTCAAAGTGCATCCAGCTGTCAACAATTTCCAGATTCTCGGACCAATCACCGGTTCACCTGGATCACCTGGAAAGCACATCTGGAAAGATGGATTTCCACCGTCCCACAGCTGTGTGTGGCCAAATGCTTTTTGGTCTTTACGCAGTTCAGTGATTAAGATGCTCGACTTATTGTAGAGCCAATTAACAAACGATTAACATGAGTTAAAAGGTTTTAAAGTTAATTGCACTTATTTAACATATGATTTTAAGTTCACTTTAAAAATGAAACATTTTGTGCAAAACTAAAATAAATGATTTGCTTTTCAGCAGCGAGACGACTCCTTCACTGTGTTTCGAGCTTCTGACTGAAATTATAATATCATCTTTTGAGTCAATATTTCGATACTTTTCTATGACAATTTATTCTACAAATCACACCTTAAAAAACTCATAACTAAGCTAAAAATGCATTAAATGCAATTCGGAAAGCTGTTCTGTTCTAGTTTTGAATAGGTTAATAAATCTGCATACTCAAATTTTATTTTATTGCTATTTCAATTTTTGTCGATTTTTCAGATTGTTAATGATGTAAAAGCGGCTGAAAAAATATTGAAAAAAATTTTCAAAAATTTGTTTCTCTCATTTATACCTAGAAAGATTCGCCGGTTTATGCTGATCAAGAATATATATGGAATATAGGGTCGGAAATGACTCCTTCACTAAGTTTCGAGCTTTCGACTCAAATTAGAATACCCTTTTTCAGTCGATATTTCGATATTTGCATATGACAATTTATTCTACAATTCAAAACCTAAAAAACTCATAACTAAGCTAATAATGCATTAAATGCAATTCGGAAAGCTGTTCTGTTCTAGTTTTGAATAGGTTAATAAATCTGCATACTCAAATTTTATTTTATTGCTATTTCAATTTTTGTCGATTTTTCAGATTGTTAATGATGTAAAAGCGGCTGAAAAAATATTGAAAAAATTTTTTAAAAATTTGTTTCTCTCATTTATGCCTAGAAAGATTCGCCTGTTTATGCTGATCAAGAATATATATGGAATATAGGGTCGGAAATGACTCCTTCACTAAGTTTCGAGCTTTCGACTCAAATTAGAATACCGTTTTTCAGTCGATATTTCGATATTTGCATATGACAATTTATTCTACAATTCAAAACCTAAAAAACTCATAACTAAGCTAAAAATTCATTAAATGCAATTCGGAAAGCTGTTCTGTTCTAGTTTTGAATAGGTTAATAAATCTGCATACTCAAATATTATTTTATAGCTATTTCAATTTTTGTCGATTTTTCAGATTGTTAATGATGTAAAAGCGGCTGAAAAAATATTGAAAAAAATTTTCAAAAATTTGTTTCTCTCATTTATACCTAGAAAGATTCGCCGGTTTATGCTGATCAAGAATATATATGGAATATAGGGTCGGAAATGACTCCTTCACTAAGTTTCGAGCTTTCGACTCAAATTAGAATACCCTTTTTCAGTCGATATTTCGATATTTGCATATGACAATTTATTCTACAATTCAAAACCTAAAAAACTCATAACTAAGCTAAAAATGCATTAAATGCAATTCGGAAAGCTGTTCTGTTCTAGTTTTGAATAGGTTAATAAATCTGCATACTCAAATTTTATTTTATAGCTATTTCAATTTTTGTCGATTTTTCAGATTGTTAATGATGTAAAAGCGGCTGAAAAAATATTGAAAAAAATTTTCAAAAATTTGTTTCTCTCATTTATGCCAAGAAAGATTCGCCTGTTTATGCTGATCAAGAATATATATGGAATATAGGGTCGGAAATGACTCCTTCACTAAGTTTCGAGCTTTCGACTCAAATTAGAATACCGTTTTTCAGTCGATATTTCGATATTTGCATATGACAATTTATTCTACAATTCAAAACCTAAAAAACTCATAACTAATCTAAAAATGCATTAAATGCAATTCGGAAAGCTGTTCTGTTCTAGTTTTGAATAGGTTAATAAATCTGCATACTCAAATTTTATTTTATTGCTATTTCAATTTTTGTCGATTTTTCAGATTGTTAATGATGTAAAAGCGGCTGAAAAAATATTGAAAAAAATTTTCAAAAATTTGTTTCTCTCATTTATACCTAGAAAGATTCGCCGGTTTATGCTGATCAAGAATATATATGGAATATAGGGTCGGAAATGACTCCTTCACTAAGTTTCGAGCTTTCGACTCAAATTAGAATACCCTTTTTCAGTCGATATTTCGATATTTGCATATGACAATTTACTACAATTCAAAACCTAAAAACTCATAACTAAGTCAAAAATGCATTAAGTTCGAAAGCCCGCCTTATGCTAGCTTTGAATAGATTAGTAAATCTGCATACTCAATTTAAAGTTTACAAAATTTAAAATTTTTTTCAATTTTAATAAAAAAATTGCAAAAAAAAATGTTCTCTGCTTCATATCTAGAAAGATTCGCCTGATGATGCTGATCAAGAATCCAAGTAACTATGAGCAGTAAGAAACTCTGAACAGTAAGTATTTATGACCAGTAATTATCTATGACTAGTAAGTAGCTATGACCAGTAAGTAACTATGATTAGTTAGTATCTATTACCAGTACTTATCTATGATCAGTTACTAACTTTGAACACTAAAAAACAATGACTTGCAACTTTTGAACACAACACATATATGAGACGTGGCCGGTAGCAGTCACTTCGTTCCGGGGATGTTAGAACCAGTTGGGAATCATAAACATGTGCGAGACTTGTTTTGGAACAAATTTAAAGCAAGCTATTTAAATGAAGCTATGGAGTTATTCTTCTATATAATTTTACTAGTATATAAATCGGAGCATGGAGAATCGGTGAACTATATATATACATATATATAGCTGCCATAGGAACAATCGGACGATTTATAAAACTAAGATTAGTAATTAACTATGACCAATAATTAACGATGAGAAATTAGTAACTCTGAACCCTAAGTATCTATGAACAGTAAGTACCTATGATCAGTAATTAACTTTGATCAATAAGTCTCCAGTAAGTGCGTATATATGATCAGTTACTAACTTTGAACACTAATAAACAATGACTTGCAACTTTTGAAACACAACACATTTCTGAGACGTGGCCGGTAGCAGTCACTTCGTTCCGGGGATGTTAGAACACAGTTGGGAATCATAAGCACATGTGCGAAATTCGTTTTCAACAAATTTAAGGCAAGCTATTTGAATGAAACTATGGAGTTATTCTTCTATATAATTTTACTAGTATATAAGTCGGAGCATGGCGAATCGGTGGACTATCTATCCATATATATATAGCTGCCATAGGAACAATCGGACGATTTATAAAACTAAGATCAGTAATTAACTATGACCAGTAATTAACTATGAGCAGTGAGTAACTCTGAACCCTAAGTATCTATGAACATTAAGTAACGATGGTCAGTAATTAACTTTAATCAGTAATTCTCTATGACCCGTAAGTATGTATGTATGAT